CCTCAATTTAACACATATTAAAGGACATGGCAAGGTTATCACCTATATCCATTCTAAAACTCAATTAGGTTGTTAGAACAACAAAGTAGAACTTTAATTAAATCATGCTAATTTAAATTCCAAGATTCTAAAACAATTTCAAATAGTTCCAAATTAATATATACTAGTAAACAAGTCATGGCCAATACAAACATCAAGTTAAAACCTTAATTAAGCTAATGGGACCACAAAATAGATTTTAATTAATTCTTTTAATTAAAATCTCTAGATTTTTAAACTTAACCAAATGCTCTCAAATTAACATATCTTAAAGAACATGCCAAGGACTAATGTAATATCACATTACGAGTTTATTTCATTCAATTTAAGACCATGTGAATTAAACTTTCACTAAAGTTAAATATAAATTAAAAGTTGCAATTCTCATGCAATTAATCCCAATTTAATATATATGAACAACTATACCTAAGCTTAATTTTTTAGCATGCCACAATACAATTCCAAGTTGTATATCACCATGAGGATTAAATCTTAAACATGAAATTTAATTAAATAAAAGGTTTCAAAACCTAACCGAATATTCTAAATCAAATATATGTGAAACTATATGGCATGTAAATCAAGAATATCAAGTCAGAATTTAAATAGAGTGAATAGTGCACTCGGGGCAAATTAATTAATCAAATTAATTAATAATTACTAATTTTCAAAACACGTCCAATCACTTTCAAATTCAACTATGTTGGAGAGCATGCTAAGGCCTAATTTAATATGCTAACACATATTGATTTTAAGCTAGTTAAGGCCATGTGAATTAATCTTTTACCTAAGATAAATATTAAATAAAATCTTTAATACTTATTCAAATGTTTCAATTTTAATACAAGACAATGAATATATCGAGGGGCAATATAAAATCATGCTATATGCTTCAACTAAGTCATGAGCAACCGGAAAAATTAGATCCCGTACAAGAAAAATAAATAATAAAATCTCTAGATTTTATATTTAATCATGCAAACAAGTAGTATAAGCATCACAAGTATGCCATATAACAAGAATTTAAACCTAGAACATCTCCTACCTCAATTTGAGATGAAAATCCCAAAGGCCCACCAAAATGGAACGGCTCCGAATCCGACGAAACTACTAGGTTTAGTCGGGAACAACGCTGTGAACATAGCCCCCATGAAAGCCCCATCAAAATCATAACTTGACCTCAAAACCAAACTTAAGAAATGGTCAAAACTGAATTCTAATAAGGGGGAACGGTAGAGCACGGCGAGGGGAACAACAAACGTTAAGGCCGAAGACTTTCCATCAAGGAAAAGTGAACCGAAAGAGGAGAGAGAAGATGGCAGCACCCCTTGGGCTGCCATGGGAGCTCCAGGTCGTGCATGAAGAGGGGAGAAGATGAAAAATGAAATATCTCACCCCCCTTTTATAGAAATCTCAAAAAGTGCCTCGAACGGGCCCCGTCGGGTCAGAAAAAGTAAAATTTGAGCAGATGCGCTCAAATGGCAAAACTTTGTGAACAAAAAAGATTCAAAATGATAAAATATGAACAACGGAAGAAACGGCGTTGAAAATCGAGTCCCGAGCAGAAAGTTATGCCTAAAACAAGTTTGGCACAAACTAGAACTAGAAACCCTGAAATTGGAAAATATCGACCAGGAGGAAATTCCAAGAGTCACAACTCGACGAAATGTGAAAATGAATCCCGTACGAGGATCCAGGCTCAAACAAGACATTTTGCAATAACTTTCATTAATTGCACAATGATCCCTCCAAAAAGTAAAAACTGCATTTATGGCCCAGAATAAAAATATCTTCCAAAAATATTTTCTTAAAAAACCCTAAAATAAAATATCTTCAAAAAAATTTATGAAAAACACTCCAAGAAAAGAAAATAATTTTGAAGAACTTTGCATCCATGCCCCTATGGACACCGGGAGCAACCAGAGTACTTTCTTACAAAAGTAAAGATACGTATTTCGTGGAAACCACTCAAGATGGAGATACATGAAGGCAAAAACCAACTCCGAACACAAGAAGTGTGGTTATGCCAACAAAGTGTTAAACGGAAAAAAGATAAAATAGGGAAAAGGATGAAATAACGCATAGTTTCGAAAAACAAAAATTGTGAAAATGACTTGGTCCTCAAAGGAAGTTGTCAATCCACGGAAAAGAGTCTTAAGAACCAATTCCGAGCACTCGAGATGACACTAAGCGACACGAAACAGAGCTCAGAAAAGAAAATTAAATGAAAAAAATTCATTTGTAAAATTTCAGGAAAAAGGAAAGGAAGGCAAATGACTGGGTCGTTACATTCCTAATGTATGTGTTAAAGCTATATAATTTTCCTCGGGAATAGCTACCATATGACACATAAACACAAAGCGTGATATTTACTAAGCAAGGTGGTAATTGAAACGAGAATAGGATATTGACTTGTGTGTATGAATCCCACGCAGACAAAACACAAAGTGATAAAAGAGAAATGAGCACGAAAACGCCCATACATCAACAATAATAACAACTCAGTTACTCACCATTACCAGCAATGCAAAAGTTGTTGAAAATAAACTTGATTTTAGAATTTTAATTGTAATTAGTATTTTCAAGTATTTGGTATACATGATGCATGTGTGCATTTCATGTTAGTGGGGTAGTAAATGGTCTTGATGGAGAAGGTTATGTAAGACTAAGAGGTATGGGAGTTAAGTCTCCTAAATACTATGTTAGTTGGAGTTATGCTACTAATGGTTATGTTAGTGGGAATAATTGATGTAATTAGGCCTTTAAATGTAATGGTTATGCATACATATGTGAGGCCTATATAATCATGTACTTTTAGTCATTTCAGAATATGAATTAGAGATGGAATAAAATAATTATTCAAGTATTCCTCCATATCATTCTCTTCCAAAACATTATTGAGTATTGTGTGTATCTAGGCCACTATTTTCAACAAAGTGGTATCAGAGAAAAAGCCAACAAAGTAGTATCAGAGCAAAGTCAGAAAGTGGTATCAGAGAAAAAGCTAACAAAGTGGTATCAGAGCCAGGTCATTATCAGAGCCAGGTTCCATATCAGAGCTAGGTTTCAACATATCAGTGCCAGATTTCATGTTCAGAGCCTAGACGATCCTGAAGGCCTGACGAAGTTGATCCTAAAAGGTTCAACATTTGAGAAAAACATGTTTCTCCTTAATGATGATGAATGGGAGAAAATGTATTTTCTTAGTGAGAAGATGATGTTCTCTAATTACAGGAGAATGAGAATCATCATGACTTCATACCTCAAAGCATGTGATTTATGGGATGTTGTGGGATTAGAGCCAAAGAATAGCATGTCCAACAAGCTTCGAGAAAAAAAAAAAGAAGAAGAAAAGGCATTGGTAGTGTTGCAGAAAGCAATACATCAAGAAATTTAGGGGTATTTTGGAGAGTCCGAAACTCCAAGTTGTGTTTGGAAGATGATCGAGACCATCGTTTCCAATCATAGAAGTGAATCACGACCCACGGAGTATTGGGTATAATGCTTTGAGGATGATGAGTTTCCGAAGGATGATTATGAAAGTCTTGAGGAGAAATTTGTGGAGAATGAAGAGGCGTACAACACAAATGAAGTTGAAGAAATTGAAGATTCAAAAGTTGAAGGCCAAAGTGAAAAAGAGAATAAGGAAGAGATAAAGAAAGGTGTCAAAGAAGAGATTGAAAAAGTGGATGAGATTGAAGTGGAAAGAGAAATTAAAGAAGAAGAAAGTGCTAAAGAAGAGGCAAAAGTTGAAGAAATTGGTGAGTTAACAGTTTCAGGTATGGTTCCAAATTCCAATTTCAAAGAAGTTAGATATAACTTATTTGATAAAATTTTGATTTCTTCATATTCATCTCATATGGAAAGCAAAATAAATATTATGATAATTGTGTTCATATTGTGGAGAATGATGAACTTTTCTTGGAGAAAGTTATTCCAACAAAGTATGAGATTGATGCTCAAGATGATAATAATTTCTCAAATTATTTTTTGAAAAATGGTTTGGAGAGTTTTGTAATTGACACAGGTTGGATGAATATGGAGTTATTTTTTGACTCTAAAGAAGAAGCATATGTGAAGTTGAAGAGTCATAAAAGATTCAAGAAGAAAAAAAGATAGATGGTGCATTTATATAAAGAGGATGATATATGATTATGTGAAGACATCAAACAAGCATTTGAAGATTTTTCACAAGCCATATCCATCAATGGAAATGGCCAAGAAGATTGTTGCAATTGAAGGAGATGGAAATCAAGACAATATAACAAACTTTTGAGATTGTTGCAATTGAAGGAGATGGAAATCAAGACAAAGTAACAAACTTTTGAGATTGTTGCAATTGAAGGAGATGGAAATCAAGACAAAGTAACAAACTTTTGATCAAGCCCCCAAGATCAATAAAAAGTTTACTTTCAAGTTACAAAATCAAGTTTAAAGGGGGGTGTTGAAAATAAACTTGACTTTAGAATTTTAGTTGTAATTAGTATTTTCAAGTATTTGGTATACATGATGCATGTGTGCATTTCATGTTAGTGGGGTAGTAAATGGTCTTGATGGTGAATGTTATATAAGACTAAGAGGTATATGAATTAAGTCTCCTAAATACTATGTTAGTGGGAGTTATGTTACTAATGGTTATGCTAGTGGGAATAATGGATGTAATTAGGCCTTTAAATATAATGGTTATGCATACATATGTGAGGCTTATATAATCATGTACTTTAGTCATTTTAGAATATGAATTAGAGGTGGAATAAAATAATTATTCAAGTATTCCTTCATATCATTCTCTTCCAAAACATTATTGAGTATTGTGTGTATCTAGGCTACTATTTCTAGCAAAGTGGTATCAGAGAAAAAGTCAACAAAGTAGTATCAAAGCAAAGTCAGAAAGTGGTATCCGATAAAAAGCTAACAAAAGTTAGATCAAAGGGACCTGTATATCTTAATAATCACATGATTTTATTAAATATTTCATGTACAATATATTGACCTTGGGACTCTATCAAATGAATTGTACCCTGTGCTCATCTGTTAACTGATGTATATATATATATATATATATATATATATCACTTATTTTATCAAAGAAATGAAAACTACATTAAGAACATTCCAAATTAAAAATTTTCTCTATTTTTTATTTTTGTCCCCAGTAAGTTGCTTCATCAAAAGGTTCAATGTAGCAGATCTTGCAGGGACATACATTATTCTGGGCACTAAAAGTAACTCCTTCTAGGTAGGTTACTGCCCCAGATCCCGATTATTGCAGTATAAAAAACTCTTTTTAGCAGAAAATCCTGTAGTTGCAGGCATCACAGAAAAGCCAGCATAGTCCTTGTCCTTCTTTGCTAAGCATATTTTCGCAACATATTCGAAGCTCGCATTTTTCAGCACAAATGGTTGGGCTGCATATTCCTCAAATGACATCCACTGAAAGGAAGAGAAAAACAAAATGAGAAAAAAAAGAGGGTAAAGCAATGATGTGAAAATTGCTTAGCATGCAGTAATTAGTGGCGTAGTCTGAGTCAGATTCTTGAAATTGCACATTACTAATAAAGTGAGTGATGAACAAAATGGGAGAAAAGATGAGCCATTCTTCCTATGTAATCAAGGCAAAGCAGTAGGCAGGGCCAAAATTCGACGCTTACCAGACTATTGCCAAATGACAAACCTAAGGTAGTATTGCCAATGAATAACCAGTTATTCATTTGATTGATAATCCTAGGAACAAATTTACACCATTAGATAGAAGGGCGCACTAAAATGTTGTGAAAGCACTGCCCATTACAAATGAGCGCTCCTGCCGTTAGTTTGATTTATCAAAAGCATATTGATACTCATAATCAATCAGTCTGACGGGATTTACGTACCTGTGCTGCCTCGAGCTCTGAATCTTGCTTCTGGATATCAAATGAGAGTGGCCTTAGCATGCAAACGAACATCAAGTCTGACTTGCTAAAGAATGACTTGTGACTTTGCCTGTAATTGAAGTGTGATTTTGAGAAAGTGTCATAGTTTATAATGAGGATACGAAAATGATATCATGTTACTTGTTTTGCTAGGTGGTACAATAGTTTAGTATTTTTTGAAACTGGCAAAACAGTACACCAGTGAAAAAAAATGTTTTTCCAATTTCTGTTTTCTACTACAAATATTCAGATAATATTGAGCAGACATCTCACCTGAATGCGAGGACTTCCACGAATTCTGTTTCAATCTGAAGCCAAAAAAAAAAAAACCGAGTCTCAGATCGATATGGCCTCTACACCAAGGATCACTCAAAAATTGCCCAAGCTTGGGACATGATGTCAAATGTCGTTTCCTATATAAGACGTTAATAAGTGAGGGCTTTCAACCCTAAATTGACCAATTGAAGAGATCTCTTAACTAAGTAGGGGTGCATCTTGGGCGGGCTAACCCAGCCCAGCCCGAATCCATTCCAAAAATTTTAGAACTTGGATTTTTAAATTCACAAATTGATTCAAATCGGATTGGATTTTATCAAAACCCAAGCTTGTCCGGATTGGGCTGGGTTCAATCCGAACCCAACACAAAACTTCAAATTAAACAATTTTACAATCCATCCCTAACTTGTCCGTATTTCTCAAATGGAAGTTTGAAGGCCTATTTGGTTTTAAATTTTCAAGTTAGATCTCACAATATATATATATATATATATATATATATATATATATATATATATATATATATGTATATATATTATACTGTAATATTGTAATCAGAATGACTTTTGCTTAATTGAATTTTCAAAATTTGTGCACCAAACAAATTTTTGTAATTTTTTTTTAATTTTTGGTTGAATTAAATTAATTAATCGAGCCCTCAAACATTGCTGTTGTTTTGGGAAGCCTTTTTCCAATTATTCCAGTTATTTTTAGGAAAAATAAGTAAAAAAGGAAATAAATTCTTGTTAATTGACTGGAAAAAAAAAAAAAAAAAAAGACAAATCAGAATATATTGTTATTATTAAAAAAAAATATAGATAAACATTCATTTCCTTTAACTTTGGATTGTAGCTAAATATGGTACAGTAAACAAAGCTGCGTGATAGTATAATTAAATTTTTTTGTTTAAAAATTCGGCATAAAAAATGCAAGTCACAAAAACACGCATATATATGTATATGGATATAATATGAATGTTAATGAAAATTCGTGGTATAAAATACGATAGCCGTTATATATAATTTATTTAATATATTACAAGAATTATTAGTTTTAAACTATTGATTTTTTATTTTAATGATATTCCAATATCAAATGAAATTAAAAGAGTTTCAAAAATAATATAAAAAATTTATAAAGTTGCATATTATTGTATAGATATTTTTTTAATTACCCAAAAGAAACAATTATTGTATTCTATCAATTGTAATAGAGAGAAAAATGGTATGCTTGTGAATGTTCTACATTTGCACTTATAAGTATTTATTAAATGAAAAATGGCAAGTATTAATGAATTGAAAAATAAGATTCTTTTATAAATTTTGATGTTTACAAATATGGAAAAAGGAAAATGTAATTTGCATATTTGTAAAAAAAATAGAAAAAAAAAGTGGTTATCCTACAAAACCCGCCTAACCCGTCCAAATATGTGGGTTCGGATTATTAACATAACTCATTTTTGGCAGATTTCGTGCTGGTCCAACCCAACCAAATTTTGGGTTGAGGTTAGGTTGGAATCGAGTTGGGTTGGATTGGGTTGGGTTGGGTCTGCCTAACTTGCAGCCCTGAATTAAGTATATATTTTTTCTCTTACTAGTATGTAAATAAACTGGAGACTTGATCACTTACTCCTGCCTCCTCTTTCACTTCTCTAACTGCGGCTGCAGATATATCCTCACCCTGCATAACAGAAAGAAAGAGATCAAAAAAAACGACATCCCAAAATTAGTAACAGATGGAACAGTTACACACCTCGTCAACTACCCCAGTGGGCATTTTCCAGATGCCAGTGCCTCCGAATTTGCCACATTTTTCTTGGACGACCAGAACCTACATACCAGATGAAATGATTTGAACTTTAGAAAGGAAATTTACTAGGGCTGGCAAACGGACGGGTTGGATTTGGGTAGGGTCAAATATGAACGGGCCGAATATGGGTTGAATAAAAATGGATTGGGTCAACCCATCATGACCCACCAAACTATTTTAAGAAAAAAAAAAAAATTTATTATTTTGGATAATCTCATTATTGTCATATAAATATTAATTAACATAAACAAAATATTAAAACTAAAAACTTTGAAAGAGAGGACAGAATGTAGACAGAGAAAACTTTCTTTATTTCCTTTTACTTTTTCTATACATTTTGGATATACACCAATACACAGGGGCGGAGCCAGTGTGTGCCAAGAAAGGGCACATGCCCCTCCTGGCTTGGCCCTGCCCACTATAAAATATAGTAATTTTTATTTTAATTTGTACATTTATAAGAACTTGCTTATATGTATTTAATGTGTTTACACCTATAACATTATATATACAATAAATCTATACGCATAATTCAAACCTGCGTACCAAATTCTCTCATTAGTGGCCACGTTACTAATTTCATTCCTTTCAATTTTTCATAAATAGTGGACCCCACACCATATATATATATATAACAATTATTATAATTTTTGATTTTAGATAGATAAAAGCTTGTAAAAATATGTACAGATAATTGTAAATCCTCTAATTTATTTTAGAAATTCTTTACATTTATATTATTTTATTTTGTGACTAGACATGCATTAAGGTAAAATATTATATATATATATATATATATATATATATATATATATATATATATATATTATATGAAATCATCTGTTAAGTTTTTTATAGAATAAATGAATGAATTAGATGGTCCTATTTTAAAATATAGATGTAAACATAGGTTTCTTTCGAACCGTAATATTACATACATGAGGAGTCCATGATACAAATAAAATCTTAGAGAGAGATAGTGGGAGAAAGAGAATTTGGAATCGTGTGGAAATTTTTTTTTTTTTTACAAAAGAGGTGAATATAAATCAAATAAAGGTTGTGAAACTAAATTTCTTATATCATGAGTGAAATATGGGTGATTCATATTCAACCTATTTAACCCTTTATAAAAATGAGTTGAATATGGATCACCTATTTCAACTCATATTTTAAAATAATTTATCTATATTTATTTTAAAGCGAGCAATTGGTGGGTTATGATCTATTTTGCCACCCGTAAAATTTAACAACCAAATTTCAACCTGAACTCAATGTTCCAAAGTCATAAATAGAGAAAATGGATTGACAACAAAGACAACTGTAGAAGGAATACCTTCCCCTTATTGTTTGCGACAAATGCACTAATTCCTACACGGTGTGAAGCATTTGCAGGGAGAGTATTTGGAGTTTCAGGATTAATCCAATATACAATCATTGAGTATGTACGTTCTGCATGATGAAACCAGAATCCTTCCTGCACAATTAGCAAAACAAAATTATGAAACATACAAAACATGACAAAGAGCAACATGATTAATTCATTGATGGTTTCAAGTGCCTGATTCTATAATCCAATTTAGTATCCCAAAAACCACAATAGTTAATATTACAATATATATATATATACCTTAAATGCAGGATCAATAAGATTTGAAAGCTCAATAGGCAATTTAATCCAAACACTCTTCTTTCCCTGCAAAATTACATAAACAAAACAAGTCTTTGTGTCAAGGTGCAAGGATCCTCCAAATATACATATTTGTGCATAAAGAAAAAAAATAATAATAGACATAAATATACCATACTGCAAAGAGAAACTCTACGTGCAGTTATGTTTCAATCCAACTTTAAAAATTTTCTGACTCAACACAATCGAAGAGTTCAATTAATATAAATCTCAGATCAAAATAAGCAGCATCAATGAATTGAATTAAGTACCTGTTGGCGCCACAGTGATATTGAAGCTCGAAGCGAAGTAGCAAAAACATGAGGATCCATAGGCTCCTTCATTTCTACAGTGACTCCTTCATATCTATCAGTGGATCCAGCAAGTAATTGGACATGCTGAACTTCATTTTCAGGAATCACAACCGATGGTGATGATCTCGTTTCACTTGTACTCGACATGATTCTGGTGAAGAGTGGAATCACAGCTTGAATCTTGAGACCTTAGGAAAGAATAGAATCACACATTGAAAATAACTAAAATCAAATCAACATATATATTTAAAGGTATCAAATCAACATATTGCCATGTTTATTTCTCATTGATACCGTCAATGTTAGGATTTCACACTACATTGACAAATAGAAAGGATAAAAGAATATACACGTACGAGATTTACGTATCAACGTACGAAAAACGACTATCTCTATTTCAAAACTTGATTACACATTATTTTTCAAAAAATTAAATGCACTTTTTCTATTTACAATTATCTATCTATCTCTATACCTAAATTCATATCTATTTATAGAGTATTCAAAACTCAATTTCTTGTTGGACAATAATTTCACAACCTAACTATAAAGACTTACCATATCCGTTCTATCCAAATAAAAAAAGACACTAAAATTAATTTGGAGCCCACAAACGATAACACAACAGTCAAAGCATATTAACATACGTGTTGAACTGTTCAATGAAGTAGAATTCTCTAGCTTGGTGAAACTGACAACTGACCAAGTAATACAAAAACAACATTAAAGTGTTAATTAAGTGTTAGGTGATATAACACACCAATCTCTTGAAAAGCCCTATCCAGAGATAGTGACCATTGAATCCCTAAAATTTAAAGAAATAGAAAATGAGAGACATTCTTATCATCAAAACCGCAACAAGAAATGATCTATTCTGATTGGACGCGGTGGATAAATGGTCTTTTGGATTAATTAACACAACTACAATATGTATAATCAGATTACATGTGCGATTTGTAGTGATTGGACATAGTCATAATACGTCATAACATTCAATTATTCAAAGGTTTCCACATTTAAAAATAAAAAAAAATCTGCACATTAGTGTATACATATATATATATATATATAAACACATACATATATAAACTCACAGACATATATATATATATATATATATATATATAGTTATGTAAGTATACGTTTTGAAATCTGGCAGAAGTAATTGAAGATGGATGGAATGTGATGAGAACAAGGAATTAGTCTATATTTATAGTAAAAATGTATATAATTAACCTTCTTGGATGATTCGAGACGTGTTAAGGAGGGGTAAGTAAATAACCGAGCAAAAGCGAACGGGTTTCCAATCCGGTTTTCCAATTCGGTGGGCCCAGCATGGACCGCGTGTGTCAGACGAGAGAGGTCCCAGTTACCCGTGCATGTATGTTCAGCGAAAAGGTGGTGCCAAAGTACAATAGAGATAACACAATTTTCGAACTTATAAAATTCAGAAATGGTTGGCATATATCTTATACGGAGTATATAAAAATTAAGGAGTAAATAAAAAGATAGAAATTGTAAAATAAGAATAAAACTGAGATGATCAAATAAAGAAAACTTTCAAAATAAAAAAACTCCAGTTGATTGCGATCTCAAACAAAAAGTTTCAAAAAATTGACAACCTTCTCATAAAATTGAATACAGAAAGAAAAAAGAAAAAGAAAAAAAAAAGGGAATTCGCAATAATAAAATTTGGTTGAAAAATTTATAGTCACGAATTAATGTGTAATTAGGAAGATGTTTCACAAGTCATAATAAGTCTCCACGCATTTTCGTCCTAAATTACAAGTATATAGTTTGAAAAGATTTACAACTAGACACAAGTGTTGAAATATGTAAAATGCAATTTATTTGCAACGTGTACATGTATATCACGTTAGACGACAACATGTGCAAAGTAACGTACATGCAATAACATGAAAAATAATTCCGTTACCTGTGCATGTAGGTTCGGCGAAAAAGTGGTACAAAAGGGGTGACATAATTTTCAAACTTATAAAATTCAAAAGTGGTTGACGTATATCTTATATATAAAATTAAATAAAAAGAAAGAAATTGTAAAATAATAATAAAACTGAGATGATCAAATAAAAAAAAGTTTGAAAAATAAAAAATTTTAGTTGATTTCGATCTCAAACAAAAAGTTTCAAAAAATTGACAACCTTCTCAAAAAAAAAATAAAATAAAATAAAATTTCAATAATGAAATTTGCTTGAAAAATATAAAGTCACAAATTAATAAAATCTCAATATGGACCACAAAATTCAGAAATGGTTGGCATATATCTTATATGGAGTATATAAAAATTAAGGAGTAAATAAAAAGATAGAAATTGTAAAATAAGAATAAAACTGAGATGATCAAATAAAGAAAACTTTCAAAATAAAAAAACTCCAGTTGATTTCGATCTCAAACAAAAAGTTTCAAAAAATTGACAACCTTCTCATAAAATTGAAAACAGAAAGAAAAAAGAAAAAGAAAAAAAAAAGGGATTTCGCAATAATAAATTTTGGTTGAAAAATTTATAGTCACGAATTAATGTGTAATTAGGAATATGTCTAACAAGTCACAATAAGTCTCCACGCATTTTCGTCCTAAATTACAAGTATATAGTTTGAAAAGATTTACAACTAGACACAAGTGTTCAAATATGTAAAATGCAATTTACTTGCAACGTGTACATGTATATTACGTTAGACGACAACATGTGCAAAGTAACGTACACGCAATAACATAAAAAATAATTCCATTACCTGTGCATGTAGGTTCGGCGAAAAAGTGGTACAAAAGGGATGACATAATTTTCAAACTTATAAAATTCAAAAGTGGTTGACGTATATCTTATATATAAAAATTAAATAAAAAGAAAGAAATTGTAAAATAATAATAAAACTGAGATGATCAAATAAAAAAAACTTTCAAAAATAAAAAATTTTAGTTGATTTCGATCTCAAACAAAAAGTTTCAAAAAATTGACAACCTTCTCAAAAAAAATAAATAAAATAAAATCTCAATAATGAAATTTGCTTGAAAAATATATAGTCACAAATTAAAAAAATCTCAATATGGACCACAAAATTCAGAAATGGTTGGCATATATCTTTTACGGAGTATATAAAAATTAAGGAGTAAATAAAAAGATAGAAATTGTAAAATAAGAATAAAACTGAGATGATCAAATAAAGAAAACTTTCAAAATAAAAAAACTCCAGTTGATTTCGATCTCAAACAAAAAGTTTCAAAAAATTGACAACCTTCTCATAAAATTGAATACAGAAAGAAAAAAGAAAAAGAAAAAGAAAAGGGAATTCGCAATAATAAAATTTGGTTGAAAAATTTATAGTCACGAATTAATGTGTAATTAGGAATATGTCTCACAAGTCACAATAAGTCTCCACGCATTTTCGTCCTAAATTACAAGTATATAGTTTGAAAAGATTTACAACTAGACACAAGTGTTGAAATATGTAAAATGCAATTTACTTGCAACATGTACATGTATATCACGTTAGACGACAACATGTGCAAAGTAACGTACACGCAATAACATGAAAAATAATTCCGTTACCTGTGCATGTAGGTTCGGCGAAAAAGTGGTACAAAAGGGATGACATAATTTTCAAACTTATAAAATTCAGAAGTGGTTGACGTATATCTTATATATAAAAATTAAATAAAAAGAAAGAAATTGTAAAATAATAATAAAACTGAGATGATCAAATAACAAAAACTTTCAAAAATAAAAAATTTTAGTTGATTTCAATCTCAAACAAAAAGTTTCAAAAAATTGACAACCTTCTCAAAAAAAAATAAAATAAAATAAAATCTCAATAATGAAATTTGCTTGAAAAATATATAGTCACAAATTAATGCGTAATTAGGAATATGTCTCGCGAGTCACAATAAGTCTCCACACATTTTCATCCTCAATTACAAGTATATAATTTGAAAAGATTTATAACCAGACACAAGTATTGAAATATGTGAATGCAATTTGTCTGCAACGTGTCTATGTATATCACATTATACAGCAACGTGTGGAGGGTAACTTACATGTAGTAACATGAAGAATAATAAACTACATAGTTAACATATCTTTTAATGGGAAAGCCGACCATCCTTTAGCGTATTCTCTAGTGGATATATGGCTTCTGCTATAACCGGGGTAGAAGAAAAAGGCGAAGAATAGAAAGGGATGAAGTTAGGGAATCCAAGAGGCAGTTGTAGGCTAAACCAACATAACTCTTTGAACCATTGCATCTGGTGGTCGTGTCAGGGAGAGTATTACATAGAAGAGGTTCACCGTATCCACAAGTTTGAAATACTACTATTGATGAATATAGATCGTTATATCCTGTGATAGACAAGCATAATAGAGTCGATCTGTGCGTAAATTGCCTTGAGGACATACTATCAAATACTAGCCTCGGTCCAGATTCTTTATTTTATTAATTTTATTGCATTATTTTGCATTTTTCATTAAAATTTTGAGTTGAACATTTAATTTAATTTTTTCGTAGCATATTATTAATTTTCTCATGATATATTAGTATAAAGTGTGTTATATCTTAAATATTATATGAAGCATATATATTTTTCAACAATCTTAAGATAATTTATTTCCTACTTTGTTTTATTATATGTTTTTATTTAAAATATAAACTAGTAGAGATTATACTAATAATTGAGATAAAAGAAAATAATATTATAAACATTATTACATGATAATATGCTAAATATTGATGTGTTCAATATTATGTGAAATTGACGCATGTTATATAAGTAGATTATTGATTTATTTATATTATTCAATATTGGTTAAAATATTTTATTTTGTAATATAATATTGTGATGCATATTATGTTACATATGCTTCATGATGTTCTACGAGTTTATTACTTAGATTAATCTCGCGATATAATGTTAAATATATTGTATTATAAGGAGTGAGATGAGTGAAAGGTTATATGGGGTTGAAATAACTGTTGCTGAAAGTCACATTCTTTCAAGTATTTTGAACAAACAGCTATTCATGGAGAATTGTACATATTCATGTATAGTCACATTTATTCCTAAAATAAATGTATGTTTAGTGGTGACTTTTGGATTCAAATTGGCAACCATTCATACTCTATAAATAAGGTAGTTAGTTCAAAAACTATATACAATGTAACACATATAATGTTACTCTCTCTACTAGAGTCACTTTCTTAGTCAATATTATAAACCATTTCATGGAGTGTCTAAGAGAATCTTCAGTATTGCTAATTGCAGATTTCGACTTTATTATATCCTAGAGGTATTTTGTTATGAAACTCGATAGCAAACTCAATTACAGTGGGGGCAAACAAAATTTCAAGGAAAGTGACTACATGCCTCAAATCTCCAAATCATTCTTCCTTTTTCACTATACCGACAAAGAAAATGATATAATAGTACAATTGAGACGTTTATCCATATTAATATGAAGCAAAGTTTCAAAGAGTTTCAATGTTCACACGAGATTTGAATAGAGATATTTTATAGCGTGGTAAAGGAAGTTAAATGTTGGGAAGAATATTCCATACTTCTTTAGTAGTTGTTTTTAGACTAAGTTACTATATATACACATATGAATGATGGAAGAGAGTACGTATCAATCTCGTGGAGATGAGTAGGGGTGGACAAGTAATCCGTGAATCCGCGAATCTGATCCGATCCGGTCCTATCCGTGTGGATCAGATCGGATTGCTACACCCACGGATCGGTGGCAAATTAAAAAAAATCAAATTCATACCTCACAGATCGGATCACAGATTGGGCTATTAAAAATTTGATCCGTGAGTCCGATCTGTGAAATTTATATATATTTTTTCAAAAAAATATACTAGTTAATTTAGTTAGTTAATGATAATTTAATGTACTCTAAGGATGTATTAGTTAAAAATTATTTAAATATATGAATTAATATTAATAAATTAAAATTTTATGTATTGGGTTAGGTTAAAAGATAAATAAATAATAAATAATATTACTTATAAAAATAAAAAAATAATAATAATAGATAATTTAGATAAAACTCATTTTGCGGATTTGATCCGATCCGTTATTACATGGATCCGATCTGATCTGTGGGATAACGGATCAGTGGCGGATTAAAAATTTTATAATCTGTTGAGAGCGGAT